TAGAAATATACTTTTCAAAAGTTTTTCTAACTAATCTAAATATTTAATTTTTTTTTTTTAAATGAGGAAAGGTGGTTCATTGTGTCGTCAAAATCCATCGTGCACCTTTCTGGCATCTAGCTCTCAGCCTTTCAATACACGGAAATCACCCATGTAAATAGAAACAGACTATCATCACATTCCTGTCCGTGTATTGCTTAATATATTGTACAGTATTTATCATCTTTGATAATGGCTTATGTAAGCCGAAAGCTTAGATTGAATTAAAAAATATGTATCAATATTGTGATTTTCTTTCTTCGTTTAATGATAATGTTAATTAGCTTATCAGACGTTATGAAAAGAATTTACATAAAATATACAGACAATACTTGTCTATATTATTTAATGAAACATATATATATATATATATATATACATACATATATATATATATATATATATATATATATATATATATATATATAATATAAGATGAAAAAATTCAAGGAACGGTCTGTAATGCAATCGATCCTGGTTTGGTATTTCGACTTCAGTCACCTTCAAACCGCCTTGACTTCGATTCCCTCTGTCTTTTCTATAAATATGTTTCATGGAAATTCTTCTCTTGAAATCTCCTCATTGGTGCCGCGTGAATTTAAACATACTACAAGGTCTTGTCGTTTTATTGTTGAAATAGCTTGTCATATTAATTTAGATTCTAATAATTATTTTGTTTTTCTTGCAGTTCTCATCTGTGGAACTTACTTCCGGTTTCTTGCTTCAAAAACCTTCAAAACTTTAAATGTAATGTCAGTTGCCATCTTCATGTTTTCCTGAATTCTATTTTTCTCGTTCTCTTCCTCTCCCAGTAATCCTCTGCGTCTTAATAGCATTATCGCCTTGCCTGGGGTGAAATGATTAAAAACAAATATAGGTTTTACTCATTCTTTGTTATTTTCCTTTCTTTTTTTTGTGCAAGCTTTCTTTCAATTTCCTAGCCACTCTCTCCTCATCTTTTTTCTCTTCTTTTCCTTTAATCTATGACATTCTTTTAAGACTTTTGCTAATATTTCTTGACCTCCTTTTTCTTTCACGTTCTGGCTTTTCCAAGGGACATGTATAAATTCGAGTAATTACATTAGAGCAACGATTAGCCTACTTATTCTCGAACGCTTTTTTCTCCTGTATTTTGGCCTCACAGGAATGACAGGGAAGCAAGCTTAATTTGATCAACGTTAACCATTACCTATATATAAATGTTCATGTAGGAGATATCCAAAGAGTGTATACACATTTTTCTTTACTGATACTAGTTATAGTTATTAGTCGATAGTCAATAAATCAATTAGAAAACGTTCACAGAATAATAAAAATAAAATTCAGAAAGATGTTAACAAAAAAATGGTGTATGTGCGGCTGATGGAATGGATCGTGCCTCAGAATGGGAAACCCGAGAAACGAGTTCAAGCCGTGTTCATTTACTTAGAAATACCACTGGAAAAGAATGGATGCATCGTTTTATTTTATTTTAATTTATTTTAGAGTAGTGGGTTATCAAAAATTAATTATTAATTATTATAATAATAGAAGGGACATAATTTAATTTAATGTAAATTTTGTAATATTACTGAAGAAAAATATAATAATCATGAAGTAAATATTAATAAAAATGATACTAAATTATAAAACTTTTTAAAATCATACGAAATCTATATAAAAATAGAAATTCAAATATATATATAATAAATAATTATTATTTAAAAAAAATAATAAGTAATAAGCAATAATACTTAATAAATAGTAAATAAATAAATAAGTTAATAAGAAAATAGATGAATTAATAAATAGTAAGCAATAAGGTACGCTAAAATCTAAACCGAGATAGTATAGAAACATTAATCTGGGTATACGTTCTTAAGTAGATATTTAAGTAGATATTTATTTTTATGCCCACATGTGACTATCAGTTCATTTGTCTTATTTAGTAAACCCGTGTAATTTAAATGTTGTAAGATTATTTTTTCAACTAAACACAGGTTGCATTTAATCCATTTGGCATTAAACGGTTTAGCCCTTGCCATTATACTCTATTTGATGGAAGGGGAGTTGCCGGAATCTTTCAATTGCTAGAAATAATTAGAGAGAGCAGTGCTGTTTCTGTATTTAATATTAGCCAAAGTCACACGATGATGGTAGAAGCGATGCTCCCAAGGATTCTCAGTAGACGCAAAACAAAATTTAACATCGCTACTAGAACGAATGCACGATTGATATTATTGGTCATACATTGACCGTTTAATGGATAGATCTTATTTTTCGGCAATTGCATTTATTTTTGGCAAAATTTACGTTTTTGTTGGAATGATGTAATATGATGTTGTGTAGTGATATAGATCTATCGATACTTCTAGTGCAGCTATAACTGATTTTGACATTATTTTTCTTATTATTTTTTTTATATAATGTTGGTGAATAGTTAAAATGCTTATGGATTTATGTTAGGAAAATTTTTCCGACATTAATTTAGACATTACCTTTAAAAGGTGGGTTAAACCGTGATGTTGCGTTTACGGTGTTTTCATTTTGTCTTTTCATCTTTGTTTCTTTTCCATATACTCTAAGTTTACATTATGATTTCTATGTTCCAAAACCTTAATATATTTATCTTTAAGATTCTTAAACATTTCTTCGCTTCTAGAGTTGGTGGATAATCTAAATTGTACTGAAATATGGAGATTATCTAGAATTTCGTGATGGCGGTTTGAATCTTAAATAACGAATTTGTGGTTATGTAGTTTGTTTGTGTATGGTTTATGGTGAGTATTGTCAAGATCTAATGTTACATCTAGAAAAATTAATCACTTTTGTATTAGTGGTGATAGTGGTAATGTTTAGATTATGGTCCTTAAAAAACCTATAGATACTTTTCTAAATCGGTCTATATAGCGCGAGCTAGTTTTCCAGAGGAGAATTAGTCATCTCTATATGTCCCGGTGTATTTATGTCGAACAAAATCTAACACACCACAGCAACAGAATTCCAACATATATATATATATATATATATATATATATATATATATATATATATATATATATATATATATATATATATATATATATATATATATATATATATATATATATATATATGGGATAATTAGATCAGATAGCTGATTGCCCTACAGGAAGTTAATCTCCAACTAAAGGCGAAAAGAAAATAGTTTGTAAAGATGTCAATAATTATTTTCTAAAAGGTGGGAAGCGACTAGAAATTAAAGCAAAATTTCTGCTGCTTTTATTTCATATTATTAAATGTGGCTTGGAGTAGCATCCAAAACACGTGTAGTGTTAAATTATGCCTTTTACAAATTAAAATAATAAACATTTAATGAATGAAACAGACGGAATTAAGTGCCTGAACTTACAAATCCGTCATAATTTGAAAATCTTTCATTTTTCTTTTAATAATTCACTTTTATCATTCTTCAAGGTAAGTAAGAACTGTGTGCACTATTTACATTGTTCACACTGTTGTCCACATCTTTGTTATCATATTCACGACGTTTCGGCAGGTGTAAGCTATGGCCTTTTTCAGGTGATTAGAATTTCGAAACGCAAATTAGTGGATAACATCGCTGGTTGAAGCAATCCAGTGACTTGACCCAAGGAGTTGTGAGTCCAATATCTGGCCACAGCAGAAAGAAACTTGGAGGGTTGAGTTACTAAAGGGAAATAACTGAAATTGAGATATCCGAATGAGGGATGGCACGTAGAACTAGAACTATCTAGCCCGATGGAGAAAATAAAGGGTTCGGTTCGAAATTCCAATTACCTGAAGAGAGACCGGAGCATGCAGCGGCCGAAACGTCGTGAAAATGACAACACAGATGAGAGTAATAGTCCGAACGATGTAAATAGTGTGAATATGTCTCATCTCAGAAGTATAGACAGATATTTAAGAATTGCGTATCTTACTTGTCCAGATGCTATTAGTTTAAAATAGTAGCCTCAAAGACTATTCGCTAATTGTTATACCTGACGTACCTATTCTATTATTAATAGACTCTCCCACACATAAGTAGTAGTAGTAGTAGCGGTCGCCAGTTCGGCTCAGTGGTGTTGAGTGAGTCAGTCGATATCGAACATTGAAGTACCAACCATCACAACTAGATTGCTGCGTCATTAACTCTTATTTCCAAGTTCCTAACGTTTTGTACGTCGAACCTAATTTAGGACGACTTATTGAAATACAAGCCTCCATTGTGAAAACTACTCTACAACACTAATGCAAAAAGATGAGACTATAAAACGTGCCCTTATACCAGACCAAATTATAAATTATTCTTACATCTGTAAGACACTTCCCAGGAAATTTAACAATGTAGGCATACCAAATGGAGTATAGATTTTGCCGCTACCTTTTATGAATTTCGAACTTCCGATCACCTGAAGAAGGCTGGAACGTGCAGCGGCTGAAACGTCGTGAAAATGACAACAAAGATGAGAACAATAGTTCGAACAATGTAAACAGTGTAGTATGGAGTATAGTTTTTTTGCCGCTACCTATTTCTGAATTTCTAAAACATCTTCCCAGCAATGATCAAATCCTTCCATTTTCCATTTCGCCTATTCAATTTTGATCGTGTCATCCATTTTACCCCTGTTTTCTTTTTTTGAAAAATCCTTCTGCATGTTTTTTCATTCGGAAAAAATCAAAGAGTAAATCCTTCAATACGGTTTAAATTGGGTATTTGATATTTTTTTTTTTTAATATTATTTTTTTCTTTTTCATTTTATTCTTTGTTACACGTCTTGGCAGGGGTGTTTTCAATTCCACGACGCCAGGAGGGAAGAATATGTAAAGCTTTGATGTTTCTCTGAGGAAAATATCAGTTAACATCTTTTGATGAAGACAGAACCCAAGTATCATCACGCCGAAATTGACTCTGAGGAAAAAAACGACTCGAAACTCCTTCAAATCTTCAATTAACCCTAGCCCTCTATTCTCTTCCTTGCTTACGACCATGCCGTGTTAAAACCCCAATTCACATCTGATCACCGAAATTAAGTAGCGTCAAGCATGTTCAATACTTAGATGGAGGACCGCTTGGGAGCACCATGTGCAGTAAGCTTGGATATGCGGTGTGTAATTGTAATGGCTGGGAATCGAAAATCTCTGAGTGGAGTACTAATACCAGTCAAGTTAGTTATATTCATTTACTAGAAAATACTATTGGGATAGGTATGAATCCACCGCTTCTGTCCCATCTATGGGTTAAGGAATCCACCTCTTCTCCCCCAGCTATGGGGTAAAACGCTTATATATATATATATATATATATATATATATATATATATATATATATATGGTGGTGGTTCTTTGGTCACGTGGTATGATTTTAGCTATCGCCTATAAATATGCGTTTCTCTTTGCCTCGTTAGCCTTACTTTCCCTGACGATCCGTTTAGGTGAAACCTAGGTAGCTTTGTCTGGCTCACTCGGTGTATCTATCTATCTATCTATCTATCTATATATATATATATATATATATATATATATATATATATATATATATATATAACGAGATTTGCATTTGCTTCTCTTGACAGGAGCCGACATGTGCAGAAACATTTAAACTGTCAGCTGAATACAAATGCTTTCTAAGAGAGATGCATAAAGTTGGATTCCAGTAAATGCAGCCTGTAGATCTTGGCGAAGCCTGTAGAATGGCACTACCAAATCATTAACAAAGAACCGTAGAAAATAAAAGAAACCGCCTTATTTGGAGACATTCAACAAGAGCAACTATAAAAATGAGTAGCACTCGAAGAGAAAACAAGAACATAATCAAGATATTGATGTTCCACAGTACTTCAATCAAAAGGTTAGGAAGGAAAGCCCCATCAGTTTTGGAAAGAGCAATGAAAGGGGACTTCAATAACCTTATTTTCCTGAGAAATTGTTTTTTTCTCTTGAGAAAAATCATGTTTTAACCAAACGTAGCACTGATTGCTCCATCAATTTACCACTAGCATGTTTGTATGCATGTATATCTGTATGTTAGCATATAGGATGTAATATGTCCTTACTAGCAGCATAGCCCGGCGTTTCCCGTGCTTGATTCAAAATTCGTAAGACTCATACAGCAATCGCTATCACTTGACTTAAAATATTTTTGCCCTTCCTTGCCTTTAAAAAAGTGCACTTTGCTTTGCTGATGTTGTTACATGCCTTACTTCTTGCCTGTCTCACACTGTAAATTTTTTCTAAGCTCTATACTAAACATTAAATCTGTTACGAAAAAAGAACTAAACAAAATGAATACAAAACGATCAGTTTTAAAAAAGGACTCGTAACTGGAAAAACCGAATGAATAAAGAATGTTAAAAACATACTTTTTCACACCCAACCCAGTTTTGAGGAATCAGAATCAACGTTGAGTTTAATCAAGCGAATGAGCCAATTGGCGTAAAGTGCCATGCAGATTTAAATTTTTCCCACTTGTGACGAATGCAGTTATCGATTGCTTTTGCATGCTAGCATGCTAATTAACATTCGTGTAAATCAGTTGTTGGCTCCCACGCTGGCCAATAGAATCTTCCTGCCTATTCGTGGCAGCTAGCTATAAGCTCTCACTCTGGCCAGTAGAAAATAGCTGCAAACTACATGAAAACTGTCGTAGAAGCATGAAAAAAAAAAGCGATCATTTCCACTATCGATGGGAGTTGGGAAATGCAAAGTCGGTCTTGGCCTTCCCGCTAACTTGGAGCATGTAAATTCTGGTGCAAATCCATCGAAAATTGCGGTCGTGCATTCGTTACACACACACACACATCCTGCCTTTTATAGATAGAGATTGTGTACAGCCAGCGAATGTTGGACGATTTCCTCAAAGCTGACGATATTTTCTTTTTTTTTTTAATACTCTGCTTAGATTTTGCAAGGTAGATTTTGCTATCACAATGCCCCATCGGATTCCAGTGTCGCACTTTCCATCCTCTGTTGAAACCCTACCCACATATTTAAATTGTTGTAATTGTTTAAATTTAGTATACCCAATTCGTAATTTGCATATTGCGTTATTCCTTTGCTGACACTCTTGAATTCTGTAGACTTGGAATTGGTATTTAATCCATTCTTCTCGCTTCCAGTCACTACATTCCGTAGGAATTTTCGTAGTTCTCTTAGACACACGCATATATATACATATATATATATATATATATATATATATATATATATATATATATATATATATATATATATATATGTATAGATATATATATATACTCGGAAGGGTAAATATTTTCTTGCCATGGGTGGCTGAACCGTCGAACTCGTTAGGCAGTACCCAGACAATTTCATAGGCGAATCTTCGCTTAGGCATAATATAATGCATTCTATGACACAAGGTCATTTTAAAGTGGGTTTAAGAGCAATACTGTGGAAAAATTGATCAATTCCCCGCGGCATTTCCACATTTTCGAGATACCTCAGGAACCCACCAGAAGGACAGGTTACGCCCCCCAACCCGAAGTTTGAGCTTAATATTCTTAAAACTCTCCTGGCAAAAGTTCCAGGTATGTTAATGATTTTCTAAGAGTAGATTCGGTGTAAACACAAGGCCGAAAGTGTGGAACACCAAGTGTAGATGGAACTCACTCTTCAGTAGTAATCGATATAACGAAACAATTTAGCTAAACATGACACATCGAAATTCCCAAACGTAGCTTAGATATGGTAAAAGGTCGAATGTGCGGTGCACTCAGTAAGGATTGAACTCACTATCCGGTCATAATTGGTCTAACGAGACATGCTTGCTAATCATTACACCACGGCGAAGTGTCCCCCCCCCTCGGGCAATTATAACAGTTTCATGGAATTTTCTACTGTTTTATTATACGTTCCTTTTCGTTTCGCTTGAGATCCTGGGTATGACGATAAACTACATCTGGCAGCAAGGCTTTTGATCGGGGTTTGGGGTTTTGAGGAGCGTGGGACCACCTCTTAACTACTGTTGTTCCTAAGTCAGTCCTGACTCGGTTTGGTACAACCTGTTAGGGTTCCAGAAGTTAACCCCCGCAAATAAAAATCAACCGTGCATATTTATAATAAAATGACCAACAATACAATTTTATAACAAAATAACATTCAATGCAACATTAAAAAACATATAAAAATACGTAATTATTGTACAAGTATCAACAATTCATTGTATGATTTATAATCTATATATCTAAATAACATACCTTTACGCTGAAAGTATAAAATAACACTAGTCAAAAAAAAAAAAAAAGACACCAAACATCTTTTTTAGCTAATTTGATTGCGCTACATCTGAAAATGACCTTTGACCTGACATTTTTAGCTACCGTCTTTATTGTACAGAAATGTCTCAATTTTGAAAAAAAAAAAGAAATTTTCATTTGTTTTCTGTATATATGATTTTCACCGATAGCAATATTTCTCAAATTAAAATCGTAGAATACTCTCAATTCGTATTTAAACCAACAAATATTTGTCCTCTTATTGATAAATACTATTTTTGCAATAACAAACAGTCTCTAAGTCTTTAAAATTAGCACAATTAAATATACCAAGATCAACAAGTATTTTCATCAAATCATTTAATAAACTAACAGCAGAAATAAAACTTTTGTGAACTATGCTAAAAAATTTCTCTTTCTTGATTGTCTGTCCTTTTCAGTTTTATTTAAGTCCTTTTTGATATTCCAGCAGTATCATGTACAATGGAATTGGGAAGTCTTTAGTTGGAGTTTCTTTCCAACTGTAAAAAGAAAATGTTCTCATTATGCTTAGTTCCCTTCCGTAGTGAAGGGATAATTATAATGGGATAAATTTATGAATATGGAACAGAAAAATTTAGGGTTTTATTTTTTTGATGGCACCTTAATTGTCATGTTTACTAAAGTGTATTACTGATAAAGTTTAATAACGACAAAAATTGCAATATGAGCTCTGGTAAAAACATGGATGATAACAGCAAAAAAATTGCAATATGAGCACTGGTAAAAAAAAATGGTTGCTGAAGATATTAGGTTTATAATACCCAGACATTCATACACAGCTGTCCTCAAGGACACATGGCACAGTAGATAAAGGCGTTAGTCAGATGCAGTGACAGGATCTAAAGAGTGTGAGTTCAATATCCGGTTAAGGCAGCGGAGAACTTGGCGAGGGGAATTAATCCGAAGATAACTGACATCCATCAAACACGGTACGTGGAAGTGGAACAGTCTACCCCAGTGAGCGAAATAGAGTGTTCAGTGCGACATTCCAACCATCTGAAGAAGGCCGGAGCGTACAACGGCCGAAACGTTGTAATAAATATGGCGACAAAGATGAGGACAATAGCCCGAATAATGTAAATAGTGATAAAGTTTATAAGTTAATTTGAATTTTGGCAATAAACTGGAAAAATTCAGTACTTCTACTTTAAACTTTTTGACTTCTTTTAAAAATAGCTTATTTGATGTGGCTGACATAAAATGCTCGACCTAACTGAAATGTGATGGGTTTCTACAATCTTTATTAACTAAATTTTGCGATCAGCCAAGATCGTAAATTGATCTTTTTTTCCAAAAATGAGCAATTTCAGTACTGCAAAAATGGTAGCTTATCATGAAAAACTAAAGTCATTTTCGGAATCAGCACCATCAAATTAGCTAAAAAATGTGTTTTGTTTCTTGGCACCAAAAATCTTATTGAACAATGTTATGTACAAAGTATCTGTGTTTGAAGGCATAAAAATTACATACAAAATATTTAGATTTTGGCATTAAATAACCCATAGAGATTGATATGCCGCTAAATAAAATCATCCAACCAACCAATCGTCTCGCTTGATGTTTATTAATATAAATATTTGGAAGCTTCCACTACTTTAACGGAAATATCAAAGGGATGACTAATTTATTGGAAAAATGAAAGTAGTTTAACGAACGATAAATTCTATTTTTAATGTAAACATAATGATACAACGTCACCTTATTGGATACGCTCACAAAATATGTATCGTTACGCCGAGATATCTACACATAAATACGTACGTATAAGATGTATGCGAGACCGTCAATAACGGCCTCGTCTAAATAAGAAAAAAAAAAGC